GTCATGACTTTATGCCTCTTGGTGTTTGTTCTGAGTGATTTTATGTCCTTTAGCGTCTGATTGTGTTTATTTTGCATCTCCTTTCGTCACCTCTAGTCTGTTTCTGGTCATTCTGGGGTTGATTTCTGCCTCTTTCCGGCCTTTTTTTTGCGTGGCTTTGTCTCCGTTTTGGTATTTGCTTTATCAGTTTGACTAGTCATCGGTCTTTTCCCCTGATATTTGCGCCTGTTTTCTCACCTTTTGCTCCTGGTCCTCCAGCCTGGACGAGCGAGGGGAGCTGGCGCTGATTCCGTGGGACGAGCAGAGGCACCGAGAGCTGGACTGGTGTGAAGCCGACGACTGCAGGTAAAAACCGCTTCATGTGCGCGGCTTTATTTCACCCCGGGCAGCATTAATGCACCACAATACCCTCCAACAAAGCCTCTCGCGGCGCAGAATTGTTAAAATTCATGCTCCATGCAGGCCAGATGCTCGCGCTGGCATCATTATGTGAAACAAAACATGACATCCTATTATCCAAATGTTAAACAGAGCCATAACAAACTAATACCGAATCCTGTTGCGCTGCCAGTTTATGCCGTTCGCCCGCGTCTGTAGGGAGGCCAGCTTCATTTACAATTTTATTTAGCAAGCCCTGCTTTTTATTGCTCTTTGGTGTAGAGTCATAATATCGGTTGGATGCTGTGGTATTCTTGGCTGCGAATTACAGGGTGAAATTTTGATAATGTGATTGGAGCTGCAGCGATGCCAGGAAGCTTTAACACTGCGTTCCTCGTCCTTGTGTCTTTTTGTTGCCACGTTATATGCTTGTTTTTCCTCTTTTTTTCCCTCCGTCACTGCTGATATTCTGTCTTTTTGTCGGTCTTTGTCAAAGAACGGAGCCAGAAACGTCCTGAACTGTCTCTGAGCGCTAATATTCGGACACGTCAACCCGTAAGCTCGTCCCACGGATCGTGTAAGCCGTAAAAAAACAGTTTACTTTGGTTTAACAAAAGCCAAATAAATCCTTAATGCAGCAGGAGGCTGTAAGAGGATGACAACAACAACAACACACTTTGAAGGCACTGAAAATGTGTGGAACAGTACAAAGGTTTGTCCAAAATGACCCAAAACAACGTCCGTAAATTACTCAAAACTTGATAGAAATGACTCAGAATTGTCCAAAAAGACTCCAGACTGACTCAGACTTTGTTCAGTATGACAAATACGTCAACAAAATTGGTCAAACTGTGTCCAAAATGGTTCCACATTGTCCCAAATGGTGAGAAGCCAATCCTAAAAGACTCAAATGTGTCCAGAATGACAAAAAATCTTGTCCTAAATGACGAGAAACCTGTCTCAAAAGACTCGAGACCTGTTCTAACGGACTTAGTCATGTCCCAGATAACTAAAACGTCGATCAAAATGCCGAGAACTTGTCCAAGATGACGAGACATTTGTTCCAAAAGACTTGAAACTTGTCCAGAATGACTAGAAACTTGGCAATAATGATAAAAACTTGTCCCAGATCACTCCAGCGTGTCCCAGATGACATACATGTGTCCAAAATGTCAAAGAATTGACATGAATGACTGAAACATGTCCCAGAGGACAATAACTCGTCCAAAGGGACTAGAAACCCGTCCTAAATGACTGGAATGTTTCTCAAAAGGCAAAAAATAGTCCAAAATGCCAAAATAACTTGTTGAAAATGACTAGAGACTGGTCCAAAATGACCAGGAACTTGTCCTGAATGACTAGAACTATGTCCTAAATCAGCCAGACCTGTCCCAGATCACCCCAGCGTGTCCCAGATGACAAAAACTTGTCTCAAATGTCAAAGAATTGTCATAAATGACTCAAACATGTCCCTGAGGACAATAACTCGTCCAAAGAGACCAGAAACCCATCCTAAATGACTGGAGTGTTTCTTAAAAGACACGAAATAGTCCAAAATGCCAAAAACTTGTCTCATATGACTAGAAACTGGTCCAAAATGTGTCCCAAATGACAATAATTTGTCCAGAGGGACTAGAAACCTGTCCTAAATTATTTTAATGATTCTCAAAAGACAAAAAATAGTCCATATGACTCGGAACTTGTCCTGAATGACTAAGAACTTGTCCTGAATGACTAGAACTATGTCCCAAACAAGTCAAACATGTCCCAAATGACTTCAAACTCATCCAGAAACCTGTTGTGAATAACGATCTTAATGGCTTTTCTTCCATTCGTCCTCCTCCTCATCGCTCAGCTCTCCTCCTTCACTGGTGATATTCTGTGTTTTTGTTCTTCTCTTTTTTTTTAAACCCCAGAAAAGAATTGAGCCAGTAACGTGGTAAACTCTGTTTAAACACTAATATCTCAACCTTAAGCTCGTCCCACGAACACGTCGGCCTTTACAAACAGTCCACAGATGTGCTGCTGTGGTTTAACGAAGGCTAAATAAAGGCCTGAAGCAGCAGGAGGCTGTGGGAGGATCAGCCGTGGACTTGTTGGCTGTTTTCAGCTGTGGATCAGGTGCTTTTGTGGGTATTTATAGCAGCAGGATGGTGTTTGTGGCTCAGAAAGAGTCAGAATCAGCTGCTAATTCTCTCTGTAATGAAGGAATGTGTCACTGAGTGCAGCCTCCCGCGTGCTGTACCTGTTATTTAACAGTTTTGGGGGTTCTGGCTGCGTAGGAAGGAGCTGTTGGCAGGATCAACACTTTGTTTTGATCTTTTAATGTGTCGACTGTTTCATAAATCTCTGGGACATCGTCAGTGTGTCCTGAAAGCAACTAAACGTGAGCCCAACTCCTCCTCAGAGCCGTGCTGGAGCAGAACCTGTTCGACGACGACAGCTTTCTGTACGAAGACGCTCCGGAGCTGCTGAGGTTCAGAACGGCTTCGCCCTGCATCGAGCTGCTGACCGACTGGTACCAGAGCCGAGCCCAGGACATCGACTCCTGCTCCAGACAGGTAGGAACACACCGGTTTAAACTTAAACTTGTCTCCTGCAACGCTTTAGCGCTTCCTGAAGTCCTGATCTGGAAACATGTCGGCTCCATCTGAGGTGAATGTCTGAAAGAGAGAACTTTGATTTAATTTTGGGTGAGAAGAAGAAGGACAGATCTGGAGAGTGGGCCATGGACGGTTGTGTTGTTGTGGCCTGAAACTCAATATGCCGTCACTCCACAGTTCAGGTAGTTTGTACTGGATGTCCTCAGACTCCTCAGGATGTTCTGTAGAAAATGAGCTGTCTGTACAGAAATGTTGAAAAAAACAAACAATAAAATGAGTCTAAAATGACCAAAAAAAGTCTAAAATGACTCAATATTTGTGCAATATGACAAACGTATGTCCAAATTGACGAAAAACTGTCCACAAAGTTGCTCAAAAATCCAATTAAATGGAGTCAAAGTTTGTCCGAGATGACAAAAACATGTTTAAAATGACTTGAAATGACTTCAGATGATTTGAAATTTTACCCAAATGACTGAAAAATGATCCAAAAAGGAGCAAAGTTTGTCCAACATGACAAACTCTGCATCAAAAAAATGACAAAAACTATTTGAAAATGACTCAAAACCTGTTTGAATGACTTTAAACTCAGACGTGTTCAGAGATGTTCAAAATGTACAAAATGACAACAATCGAATCAAAACAACCCAAAATGACTAAACTGGTCTCGTCCAGAATTACTCAGAAATCATCCGAAACGACACAAGATTTGTCCAACATTTATAAATAATAAATAAATTTGAACAAAATGAGTTAAAAATTGTCCAAAGTAACCGAAAAATTAGCAGGACTTGATGTTGCAGTGAAGCACAAACCCACATTGAGTAAAACTGTGACGGAAGAGAAAAACCGTCCAACTCTGAGGGACGAATTATCAGAAACAAAACGACGTGAATGTTGAAGAAAAAATTTGTCCAAAATGACTCCAAAATAAAAGCTCAAAGACCTGCTGCCAATCACGAGCGACTCAGAATGTGTCCGAACTGACAGAAAGACGTCCAAGATGACTTAAGATTTGTTCAAAACGGGTTCAGATTTCTGAAATCTCTCAGAAATGAGCGGTTTGCTGTAAGTGAGTAGAAACAGCCGACGTGTGCAGCAGGAGTCTGTCGATGGAAACAACCAGCTGGACGTTGAAGGAAAACTTTCCTCAGCTTCGGTTTGTTTGCTTGCTGATGGAGACGAGTCCGACTGTTGAGGGGAAACATTCTGACCCGGTTCAGGACTGAGCAGACGTCCGGTTACTGGAGAGACGACTGATGGTCGGAGCAGAACGACGTGACGGAGAAGCCGACCTCCGTCAGCTCTGTGATCTGCTGCAGGTCCTCCACGTGACTGAAGAGAAGCCGGAGCTGCTGTCATCACGGCGCCGGCTGAGAACCGGACCTGATGGGATTGTTTAGGGGAGTAATGGGATGTAAACGGCGGCGCTGCCCACTGGCTCCGCCCACTCCATCCTCCACCTCCTTCACCTCCTTGATGGATCGGGTTGTCACGGCGACGCCTCCGTCTGCGCGGAGGGAATAAGCAACTGCCGTCGAGTCTCTCCTCCTCATTTCTTCATTTCTTCATCTGTTAATGTGGCCCGGCGGAGGACAGGTTCTGGGTCCATTAGTCTGAAGACGCTCAGCCTGGAATCAGTCACCACCCGCTGTGTGGCGGCGCTGATTCAGCAGCGATAAACCATGATGGAGAGCAGAAGGAAGCATCTGATAGCATCAGGATGTATTTTTATAACGTTAAGACGTATTTTAGGACATATTTCATTGAGTCACAGCATATTTAAGACATATTTTATTGTGTCAGGACATATTTTAGGCATATTTTTTATTATTTGATTTATATTTTAGACGTGTTTTTTTAGTATTAGGACATGTTTTATTGCGTTAGGACATATAGAATATAGACACATTTATAGTGTTAAGACATATTTTAGGCATATTTTATTGTGCGAACAACTATTTTAGGAGTGTTTTATCAAATTAAGACGTATTTTAGACATATTTCACAGCTCTAAGAAGTATTTTATATTATTAAGACGTATTTTTAGAATGTTAAGACGCATTTTAGGACCTATTTTATTGCATCAAGACATATTTTAGACGTATTTCATAGTGTTAAGACAGATTTTATTGCGTCAAAAAATATTTTAGGCATATTTTATAATGTGAACGAGTATTTTAGGAGTATTTTATAGCATTAAGATGTATTTTAGACATACTTCATAGCGCTAAGAAGTATATTATAGTATTAAGACATATTGCGTGAACACATATTTTATTGAATTGATATGTATTTTATAACATTAACATATTTTAGTGCATATTTTAAGACATATTTTATACGTATTTCATCGAATTAAGAAGCATGTTAATATAAGTTAATTCTTTATTGACCCATAGGGGAAATTCGGGACACATTTAGACACATTTCATAGCGTTAAGAAGTATTTTATAATATTACGATGTATTTTTAGAACATTAAGACGTATTTTAGACATATTTTATTGCATTGAGACGTATTTTTGACATATTTTATAGCATTAGGACATGTTTTATTGCGTTAGGACACATAGAATACAGACATATTTATAGTGCTAAGACTTATTTTATTGTGTTAAGACACATTTTAGGCATATTTTATTGTGTGAACAAGTATTTTAGGAGTATTTTATCAAATTAAGACATATTATAGACATACTTCATAGCATTAATAAGTATTTTATAGTATTAAGACGTATTTTAGGACCTATTTCATTGCATCAGGACATAATTTAGAGATATTTTATAACATTAAGATGTATTTTATTGCTTTGAGATGTATTTTTGATGTCTGTTTTAGCGCTACGACATATTTTTGATGTATTTTCTAGTATTAGGACGTTTTATTGCGTCAGGACGTGTTTTAAACGTATTTATAGTGTTAAGTCGAGTGGAGGGTTTCAGACTCGCATCGGGATGGTTTCATCATCGAGTCAGGGGAGACTCGAGTCTTTGTTAATCTCAGAGAATCACAGCAGCTTCTCCCTCGCTCGTCTTTAATTAGAGCTCGTCTCCACGTTACTCCAGGAGCCTCGCGGGACCCGGCGCTCACGTCGCTGCCGTTTTCACACACTGTCAGGACATAAAAAAGCTGCCATTTCCCTGCTTCCTGCCCTCCTTTCTCTACTCCATTTGTTCCCTCTCATTTGCAGCCTCCTCCCGTCGCTCATCTGGCCCTGTTTATGCTTGGGAGAGCGTTTTAATGGAGCAAAATGGGGCTTGATTAAAAGGAGGCACATCAGAGGGAGCTGCAGCGTCGTGAGGCGACACGCCGAACGGGAAGATTGACAAGATGAGTCAGAGCCTGGAAAAAAAAAGAAGCTGCGAATGGGAAGCGAAAGAAAGGAGGAGAGGGAAAAAAAACACAGAAAGGAGGAGATAAACGCTGAACTGGGGATGTCACGCTACCAGGAATTTGGTAGCTGCTAAGAATATCACAGAAAATCTGCGATGTTCGATTGATTCCGCAGCAAAAAATAAACCGAAGGGGATGAATGTGCTTCAGCTCTTTTATTTGGGCCTTCAAGTCGTAAGAAAAAGACGTATGTTGGTGACAAAACCACACAACTGTAGCGGCTGACTGATGATAAACAGGCTCGGTGTCACGAATGCATAAAAAATATAATAACCGTCACCTTTCGAGTGTTTAACCCCCAAACAGGCAGCTTTAAAAGCAAAGGTATCTTTAGAAAGCTGCAAAAATGACACCGTGTATGAGTCAGAAAGTGTAAAAACATAAAGGATTTGTCAGATTTTTAACTTTCCAACGGTCCTTGAACTCATCACGGGTCACAAATCTTTTTATTCTACGTTTCTCTTTTTAAAAAGTCTCCCAAAAATACAGCATTTACATTAGATTCTGTTAAAAAGTTCCAGAGAACACACACCAAGCTTGACTTCTTATTTTTTAATGAATTTGTCTTTTTGTCTTATAAATCCTTCTTTTTTTTTTAACTTACTTACCTTTTAATTCACTATTTCATCAGTTAGTTTTTTTAATGTCAGAATTTTAAGTAGCATTAAAGCAAATTAAATATTCATTAAAAAGATCCACTTTATTCTCAATTTGTTTAAATGGGTTTTTGAGTTGTTACGTACTTCATTACCATAATTATGAAGTTTTTAGATGGGAAATTTATTTATTTTACAATTAAGTTTCTTCAGTGCTATGCGGGACTTGAAATCCCGACCTCGAGGTGAAAAAAATAAAAATGTCATCAACCCAATTTTAATACGTTAGTACATTTATAACATCACATAATTCAGAAATTTGGATTTAAAACACACAAAGTTTTAAAATTTGGCTTTTTGTCTAAAAATTCAGATTTTTTTTCCTTTTTTGTTAAACTTACTATTTCATCAATTAGATTTTTGTTTTTAATCTTGTGATTATAATTAGCATTTAACAAGTTAAATATTGAGGTAATTGTGAAGCTTTTAAGATGGAAAATTTATTTTAACATTAAGTTTCTTCAGTGTTGTGTAGGACTCCTGACCTGGAGGTGAAGAAAAATGTGTGATCAACCCAGTTTTAATAAGTCAGTAGGTTTAAAGGTTAATTACGTTTATTTTAAAATCTGATTTTGTAGAAATTTGGATTCAAAACATACAAAATTCTAAGTTTCTATCTAAAATTTAACTTTTTGTCTCATAATTCAGGTTTTTTTTTTCTTATAATTAACTCTATAACCTTTTATTTTACAATTATTTTTGTTTTCATAATGCCAAAGTAAATTAACTTTTTTAAAAAATTTGCTTTAATATTTATTGGACTGTTTGTCTAATTTGGACTTTTTTCAGAATTCTGACTTTTTATCTCAGAACGTTTTGGCATCAAATCAAACCAAACTGCTCCAGCGAGCGTTTCCACATTATTTAAAATTAATTTTAAGTTTCATGTAGTGAATTAAAATAAAT